ATGCGGGATCAAGAAATAATTTCTCTTCAGGTCAGAAGCAAGTGATCTTTTCTCCCCTCCCCACAAAAAAGGTACCCAACTCTTCCTTTGTGGCATGCAATTTCCTGCCCGCTCTTGATTTTTATTGATTCCTGTCTCTCTTCCTTTAGCATAAGGCCACCAGATTCCTTCTCCAATTTGAAAAAGACAAGTCAGACTTGTATTTAATGATTTTATGAAAGCTCTAGGGTCTCTTATGCATTTCTTTTCCTGCTGTACTCAGCATAGACAGACACCCCCCTCCCTTTCCACAATCGCTCATTGCCTAGGCAAGGATTCCAGCACAGAATATATAAGTGGTCAACTGCCCTCCTGGGCCTCAGCATGGCTGGCTGGCAGATTGTATCTGCCTCTGCAACCTCATTATTGCCATCAGTGGGATGGCACCAGAGCTAATACTTTTTTTAATAAACCCCTTACATTGGTGCTTCAACTGTACTGACCCAATTTCTATGAGCGTGCAAAGCTGAGTATATGTGGCCTTGTTGAGCAAGTATCAGATGTTCAAATGCAGCACGAAATAAGACACCCTTGAAATCTCCAAGCTAACCAGGCAGTTAGTCCAAATGTATCTCACAAACAGGGGTTTCACTGGATGAAGATGAATGCATGTAAGATGTGCACCATGATGTCCACTTCCATGCTGCCAGCTTTTCATACGCTCTTCTCTTCCCTATTTGTATGCTGGGAAGTTACTCACTGCTGTACTTTTATATGGGGGAGTCATTTGACTTGCAGAGCTGGAAGGCATCCTGAGATTCATCTAGTCCAACCCCCTGCAATGGCCATCTGCTGGAACACGCAGCTGTCCCATACAAGGATCAAACCTGCAACCTTGGCATCATCAGCACCACACTCTAACCCACTGAACTATCCAGACTGGTGATCAAGACTCTGACATTCTAATCTTAATTTCTCTTATTTCATAGAGGCAACCAAGAAACACTGGATAGTGGGCAGAAAACTTTTGGTTGAGGAAACGTTCTGGTTTTGTTGTGTTTAATGGCTCTGAGTTTTATGGTCACTTAATGCTGTGGTTTATAGCATGCTGTCATCTGCTTTAGGCCGGCTTCATATATTGTAATTTTCCTGCAAAGAGGAAACATACATCTCCCATAGTGTCTGAAGCAGGTTTAAAGTTTTTTTTTTTGCACTTCAGATATAATGGCAAATGTGTATTTTTTGCATGAAACTTGCAAATGCTGTGTGGGAAGTGGTCTTTGGATGACTGGGAGCAGAGTGGGAGGAAGATTTAATGCAGAATGCCCTGTATACAGCTAATTTTGCATATTGGCTATTTAGTTGTCTTAATGTGTTATTCATAAAGTTTATTTTAAACTTAAAAATTAATTTATAATATGTTTTAAAAGTGGTGTGGGTTGTTTGTCATTTCCCCCTGTGCCTTTGCACTCACTATTTCTGCCTACTTCATGCTTCCTGTAGATCCAAGGGTCTTCAGTATCTCTTGGGTAGTGGTTTTGGGATGTATAGAGGGTTTTTATAACCTCCTACATGTTGGATAATGCTGGTAGTTTTATTAATTTAACCTATTAAACAGTACAAAGTTGATCGTAATGTTTTAAAACACAGCTATACATTTGCTTCTCTTTTATTGATTGACATTGCCTGCATCATTAAAGATGTATAGATTGTAATTGATCAGTCCAGTCACTGGGTTGCATGAGCTGTGCTCTTCTTGCACATGGGTGTTTGCAAAAAGTGAATTTTCTCTCTTTTCTTCCCCACTGCAACCCCAGGGGATCCACAGAGATCTCCTGAGATGTGGGTTGGGGGAAAAGAGGAGCTTTCATAAGCTGCCTCTGCTCAGCTTGCCACTCCCACTGCAACCCCTCACTTTACATCCCAGGCCTTTCTTGATGGTCTCTCAGCTTCCAAGGGGGCTGGCACTAGAGCAGCAGAGGCACTGGTATTTTTTGTGGTTTTCTGTTTCCTCTGCTGGGACACTGGCAATAATTTAGGCCTTCTTTCACAAAACAAGTTACTTACTGCTGTTTATAGCCTGTTCTTTTCATGGGAGCTCATTTTGAGTGTCTGTAATCAAAATTTGGAAGCTCCCAAATGAGCTAGAGGAAACTGCTTTGGAGGGGTTTCTCTGGGGCTCAGAAGTTGGCCTGAGGTCAGCATTACAAACATGGCTTGAACATACCAGCAAAAAAGGTGCTATGACCTCAGAGTCTGACTCCCTGTCTTCAAAGGATGGCGTCATGGACGGAGGAAGAACCAGAGGGTCAGAAGGAATTGTGTACTCTCTACTGCTCCAGTAAATCTAGCAAAGGTAAAGGCCATTCTGCCAACACCTCTCTGGCCTGAGGAGGTAGCACTGACACCCTCCAGCTATGAAGACTCCAGTCTAGAAGCTCCAACAAAACCACTGTGTTGTATCCAATGCTACTCCTCCTCAAAGTACGCCCACTGAAAATAATGGGCATGACTCACTTAGGTCTATTAATTTCAGTGGGCTTACTCAGAGTATAACTTAGTTGGCTACAACCCATTTTCCTGCCCCACACCATTGGAGTCTTATTGCTGCTGAAACAGACAAAGCTATTGTAACCAGAAGAGCTTCACCCATTGAGTGAGTAGGTGTGGTGAGGGACACACAGGCACCCAGATGGAGCTGTGGCTTTATTTAATGCTTAGCCCGGGGTTATCTGTTGCCTAAACAACATTCTAACCTAGCTTCCCTTTGAACTCTGCACGGAGCTGTCCATCCTAGACTTAACTTGGCCATGTCTAGAGCCACCATGCAGAACACAATGGAAGTATTGTGGTGTGCAATTAATGCCGTCAAAATAGTGCTTTGATTGCTAGTTGCAATACTGCTTGCAACCCAAGAGACACGTTTGTTTCCAAAGCATATATTCATTGCTTCAGTGGTGCTGAAAATTGAGAATTGATCTCATCAGTTGGCCTTGCTACATCCGTTTGTGATAATGTTGTATTGAAGGTTGTTTGTCTGTTTTCCACCACCCACACACTTTTGCACCATTTCAGGATAATCGTTCAGGACCGCTCTTGGAGAAAACACAAGAAACCTTGTTATTTTCCCAGGAGATTCTCTCCTGCCCCTGTCTCTCAGTCTGTGATTATCTTTCATAATTAGATAAAACCTTGATATGTTGTTGTTACCAGCTCATTGAGGAAATTGCTTTTTAAAAAATCTACATTAGAAATAATTGTTGAGAACAATCTTGGCTTTGAATTTCAAGGGCGTTGTGGACCATTTTAAAATGCCTCATTTGCTAGACACTTCCTTAGACATTCCTTAGACAGACACCCTTCCTTAGACCGACAATGTGGGTGCATTGGTCCACAGCCATTGTTTATTCTGCTCTTGCAGACATCGGACATTTGAGGAGATCAAAGAATTGTTTCTTGCTTAATCTTTGCAAAATCAGCAGTTATTGACAATAACTAGTGGTGAAATAATGCCACATTTTATTAAAAGGTGAAATATCTCCCTATTTATTCGCCATATAGCCTGTTATTGGCCTCTGTAGTGGGTTGCACAATATACTGGAAATGGCCGTGTTAGTGTACACAGGAATTTTATTGGAGGCCCATGGTGAGCTTTATTGCCTCTCCAACATTTTATGAGAGTCCATTAAAAAAAGATACTTTTAGACTGAGCATTTACTGCCTGACTTAAAACAAAGGGTTTTTAACTGTGCGAGATGACTATAGGCTTGCTTCTTATTTCTTGGACCTGATTAGGAAGGAATTTTCTAATATAGGTGTGGAGAAACCCCAGGGGCTGTAGTTGCCAAGGTGCTGCATGTACCAGATCCATGCAGGCACCAGTGATTTTTCCCATCCATTTTTGTCACACAGGATCAACACCATTTTCATACCATTTCAGTTGCTGAATGGCAAGCTGTTCCTTTTTAAAATTCTAGAGTGTTTAAAAGCAGTTTTGGGACCTAGGCAGGAGAAAGTGGAAGAGGAGCTGCTGTGTTTAAAAATGAATTGAGAACTCTGGTGTTCACAGGCATTTCCAGTAGACCTATTGGATTGGGGCTCTTGAATTCTGGCTAATCCATCAACTCTTGTTGTCAGATAGATCATACAGCAATAAATAGCTGTCTTGTCTTATCTGACCAACTTAATCTATTTATTTACATTTGTGCCCTGTCTTTTCTCCATGGAACAGTTTCCATTTAAATACTGGCCAAGTCCAGATCTGCTGAGCTTCAGGATGTATTTGCCCAGGATAAAAGTGGCAAAGTTTCTGTCTAGAGTGCTTACAGTATAAGGCTAAACTCCAGAATAGTATTTGGCAGTATTGGTAGGGCAGCACCTCTCATTTGACCTCTAGTCAGTTACATCACTCCTGCTTACCAGCAGGGGGGGGCAGCCACAAGGCCCGTGTGGTTCAAACTCACCACCAGGAGGGCTGAATTGACTCAGCCCATGATTTGCACCTCGCCCATCCCCTCTAAGCAGCAGCAGTGTGACAGACCATAGGTCAGGTTCATGGCAGCGCCCTGCCATACTGCTGACTACTGATATTTGGGGTCTTATGTACCATTGACTGTAATGAGGCATTATGAGCTGGGGGAAGAAGTCCTCCCATTTTCCCTAGGTTAACACATCTCTAAATAGGACTTTAGCATGTCTTAAGTGTGGGAATCTGGAGCATTTTGGAGCAAATTGGCTGAGATTCAGACGGCTGTACATGCAGCGTTTTGTGAGTAGTGGAGGCAAAAAACTGCAGGTGCAAGCAAACACTGGGAAATCCCCAACTGCGCTTTTGAGTATTCACTTACTGGAATACAGCCGGTATTTATAATGGCCGTCATAACATTTTCTATACATATCTGAGACACACACACATGTGATAAAGCTGGCAGTGGCTCTCATTGCAATTTTCTTAATAAATTTGCTCTTTCTCTTTGTTTGGAGGACCTTGTTAATTACTTTCTTTCTGTCTGTCGGTGCAGGGCTGCCACAGAGGGTCTTTCTCTCAGTTTAATGGAACGGCTGATTCAGAAATATGATGACCATGTTGTGAAGATGCTCACGGTGCAGTACCGAATGCACCAGACCATCATGCAGTGGGCTTCCACTGAGATGTACGGCGGCCGCCTCTCGGCTCACTGCTCCGTTGCGCAACATTTACTGAGGTAAGTGACACTGTGCCTGCTTGCTTGCTGTTTCTCCTGACTCTAAACGTTTTCAGTGCGGGTTGATATTGTCAATTAATATTGATGGAGAATATGCAGGGTTTTCTGCTATCTGCAATTATCCTTTTTTCTTTTTCTTTTTGCCTCTATTTTAGCAAACCAGGGTGGGTTTTTTTATCACCTTTCATTTAGCAAATATTGATCTTGGTTTTCCCTGCACTGGTTGCAAAATAGATTTATGTGCAGTTCTGTTTTTTTTAATTTAAGTAAAGCAAATTTATATAGCAACCAGTTATATCTTGTGGGCCTGATTTTGCAGTCGCTGTGGGCCCGATGGCTTGCACATACCCAGCTGAAGTCTTTGGGGTTGAAATAGCTGGCCCTCTATGTCGTACCACACCGATTTTTGAAACTAAGATTCAAGGGCAATTTGCTATCTGGGTATTTTTATTTTGTTTTTGGTGGGTGGGGTTAAGAAGTAGTGGAAAACAAGTTTAGAGCCCTCTTGGGTACTTGGAGCCTATTCCATGTCTCTTTGAGTCTTAGCCTTTGATTCCAATGCCCAGTGCAGGCATAATAATATTACTGATTGCTTTAAAAAATTGGGAGCATGCCGTGCACACTCTTCTATGTAATGAGGAATATCACTCTAGTCTTTCACTGTTGGGTGTGATGTTGTTCGCTCAACAAATGAATAAGTCTTTTTTAGATGATCTTTATATGCAGCATCATCAGTGTGCATAGCACTTCACGGAGTACAGGTCAATGGGAGGAGAAAAGGGACAGGGCTAGACAGGGAACAATATCTGATTGTTTTAGTTTACAAGGTTAGGGTTAGGTGCAGGCTGAGTGATGGCAGGGCATGGGAGCCAGGCAGTTGTTCCAAACATAATAGGTAATTTTTTAAATTTATAAAATTATATGAAACAAACAACCAAACAAACAAACAAACAAACAAACAAACACAAAGCGTATGCAGTATATTGAAAGATCCAGTTTTTAAAAGGCTGCTAATATGAAACTTCACTGTGAGTTGGGCTCATATTGGCCATAATCTGTTATATCCACTGGTAGCAACTGTCAGCAGTGCTCAGAATGGAGTACTTGAATTTTTATCTTTGCAACCACTAAAATGCAAAACATAGCAGGACTACAAACAGAGCCTTATCTTTGTGTAAAAGAAAGAAAGAAAATAGAGTAGTTTGTATTCAGGGAACACTTACATCAGGATAATATGGATTTTTTTATATATAAAGAAACTCACATTATGGATTTAAATCACCAAGAAGATAATTTCAGTATGCAATATTGATCGCAATTGCAGTGAAATACTTTCTAAGGGCTGGAAGAAATGGTCAACAATAAAAAATGAATTATTGTTTTGAATGAAGGAAGATGTTACACTCTTCAGTTAGGGTTTAATGCTGCAGCAAATTGAAGGCTGCATAAATTCTCACTGATTTCATTGAGCTCCAGAGCAACCTCTTATCCTGAAATATTCTCCCTTTTGTAATCCCCATGCTGTAGGCTAATAAAAGGGGAGACCAGTCTCCTAGAGTTCTAAGATTCCCACACAAACCAAGTTGTAGAGCTCGGGTACCAAATGGTGATAATCCTGGGTTAGCTAAAGTGGTGCCCTCCAGATGTTGCCGAACTCCATCTCCCATCATCCCCAGCCAGCGTAGTCAATGATCAGGGATGATGGGAGCTGTAGTCCAGCAACATGTGGAGGGTCACCGGTTCCCTGCCCTTGTGCTAATCAGTACTCTCCTCCTGCCCCCAGCATTCTATTTTTAAAGTCTTGGTTATTTCATTGAGAGAGTTACAGATGCGTGTAAGTATCTCCAGTTGAATTAAGTGATACCATACAACCTGATTCTGTACATATTTGCACAGAAGTTTATGCTTCTACATTCAGTGAACCTACTTCCAGGTAAGTGTACAGAGAAGGCTTAACTTTTACAGCATCTCACACTTGGTTTTCAGTTTTTCCAGGCAGAAATTATTTTCCTGAACTTGGGGGAGGATGCTGTTTGCATTTGGCGTCATTTTAGTCTTGGTAGCCGCAGCAAGGGGGTCTCCCTGTTTTCAGTTAATTAAAGTAGAAGGAGCCCACCTTGCTTTATAATTTTTATTCTGCTTATTGTGAACTGTCTTGGGTAAGCATGATTGGAAAGAACAGCACAGGCAAATTAATAACGCTGCTTTCCTTGACACTGGTTAAAAGTGCTGATAATGTTCTTTTAAAATTTTTAAACAAAATGGGCTTGAGTTTTTAAGAAGACAGAGCAATCACCTTTGCCCATAGGCAATAAACGATTTGACCTGGACCCTAATTATAGCAGGTGTATGTGCCTATGTGAGGTATGGCTGGAATTTAAAGGAATAATTATTCATAGCATTAAGGAAACTCTTGGTAAGCTAATAAGGAAAGTACCTCTTCTGTTGTAATCCTTTTACTGGTCACAGCAAGGCAGGACTGCATGATTAACCAAGGGTAAATCATGCAAAATTCATTTGGCGCATGGGCAGCTTTGGGCTGCTGTCACAAATTCACATTTGTGCATGAAATCTGTACTTGATATGTTGGTGGCTAAAAGAAAAGAATCTGCCTCTGCTCTTGGCCAGAGGGCGATAATGAGGGTTTCTTCCTGACAACAAGGGTGAGAGCTTTCTGAAAGCTTCTCCCCTACTAATTTCTGAGGGAGCAACATGCCATTCACCAGTGCAGTCAAGACCGCAGCATTTCAAATTATTATGTGGCCTTGTTTTCATGATTCTTCACTGGCTTCACTAGTGGATTTCAGGCATATTGAGAATTCAGCCTTCATTGTATATACATATTATTAATGAATCTGAGAAGAATATTTGGCTCTACACCTTGTAAGGCATTGCTAGTTCCAGCACATATGACTGAAAGAACTTCCTTGTCAAACAGCTTTTATGCTTATCATATATCTTATTTTAAGATTTAAGGAATATGTTGTTTGGGATATGCTGAACACCAAGACCAAGGGAGTGCAAAACCAAGAAAATGCTTCTGTCAGTGGTAATACATAAGTCTTAAATTTTCTCACAGCAGCATCTGGATTAGTAACCCAAACTCCTGTCTTTAGGATGTGCTTGGACCCAAAATTAGCAAGTATTCCCTCAGTTCTCCCTTACTTCCCTCAGTTCTTGCTGCTGATGTCATGAAAACCACTTTGCCATCATAACAGTTCTGTTAATGCCTTGCAAGTTTTGTTTAAATTTACTTGCAGAAGAAGAAAGCTGGTGCATGTATCAGTATGATTTTCTGTGGCCGAAACCATTTTCGGTATAGAAGATGGATCTGAAAGCAGCCTGTAATTGGCAACCATTAAAAGTCTCAGCATTGTGATACCTCTGTCTTTCGGCCAATGTGTGTGGGCTGTTCTGCAGCTGAGGCATTGCAGCACAAGAAAAGTAGGGGAATGCTGAAATATTTATGCTGAAATAATCAGCAATTGCTTAGTACTTTAAACACGGAACAAAGGATAGGTCACCTGGGGCCTGCAGGAGAAATGCAAGAGAGAGGCTTCCAGAGGATTTTAGTTTGAAACTAGAAACATAGGAAGCTGACTTATATAGAGTCAGACCATTGGTCCATCTGTCTCAGTATTGTTGACCCAGAGTTTTGGTCAGGATTCTTTCCCAGCTCTATCTAAAGATGTAAGGAATTGAATCTGGGACCTTCCAGATGCAAAGCAGGTGCTCTTCCACTGACTTTCCAGGCCTTTCCAAAATAATCTTCTGAACAAGAGCATCTTGTAGCACATGCAGAGTGTCCTTCCTCCCAGGCAGCCAAAGCCATCTTCCAGATGTCTGGAATTGGGGGTTGGATTATTAGGACTGACAACATAACCTCCAGGCAAGTACAAGAGTCCTGATGCACTTCTAGTTTAGACTAAAATAAGTACCAGTTGGAGGGATTACTCTATTTTCAGGCTTTTGCATTTATATATAGATTTCCAAGCCTGTTCTTCCAGCCCCCAGCTTTTCTCAGAAGGAAATGTGATTTTTCTCTCCATTGGAATACTGTACTTATGCAGCAGATTATCTTTAGAAGTGACATTCACAAAATCACCCAAATCAAGGCTATTATTGAGAAATGCAAGTAACCTGCTATCATCCTGAACCACAAAAGAAGTATCCTTAATGGTGCCCTTGAAGGAGACAGTTTGCTTAGCAGGTGTGCACTAAGAGGAGACCTAGGAAAGTAAAAATAGAAAATCTGAGCAACTGAAGACTCTTGACTTTCTCTGAAACAAACTTTAGGAAGAATGATCATTTTCATATGATAAGGACATGATTTAATTATGCACTGCCTGATGTGGTAATCATGTAATGTTGCAGAACATTTTGATGATTTAAATAAAATGGACCACTTTGAAAAGTAGATGGGAGCTCTGAAACAAGGGAGAATCAGTTACTAGATGTTCCTTATTGAGCACTAGATAAAATGAAATTTAAATAAAACATTGTGAAAATAGATTCCCTTTATTCTACCTGTGTAAATTAGAAACTATTCCAAACCCTACTGGTATCTCAATAATAATAATAATAATAATGATGATGATAATGAGCACTTGTTGAAGACTTTCATCTCAAAGAAAGCTTGGGTTGCAATCCTAAACATGTTGAATTGGAGGTATGTGGACTCTGTTTTCAAGGAAAATTATTAGAATTGGGCTTTTGGAGCACATTTTCTTCAAGCGGAATGCAAAGTTAACAACACAAGTGCAAATAATTTGGGGAAACCCAAAAGTATTGTCCTTGAATTGTAATTCTGGGTTCTGTTCTTAACTCTGATACAACCCAAGTAAAAAATTGAATTGTTAATTTTCCACAATGGCAAATCTTGGCTCCATGAATTTACACTGGAACCCTTAAAAGTGTTTAGTGTTCAGTGGTTATGAATGCAAGTAAACAACTTTCATTTTCGAATGTGGATTATTAATATGGCTTCTTGAAGTACAAAACTTATGTTAAGCCAATGTTGTATTTGAGGTTATCAAGATTGTGCTTTGTGCCTTTTTCTAATATTGCAGCTGTCAGAACATTGTCTCTTGTAATACATCAAAGGGCACTTCCTTTTGGCTCCAAGTACTAAAATGTACAAGCATCTGCACTGTAGAATCTTCCATCTGTAATTTGGCTCTTTGACACTGTTGACATGTGCTTTTATCTTCTACTTTCTGTATTTTTGTTGATGCTGTTGAAAGTTGTGTTGCCATTACAGACAGGAGTTTTGAAGAATTCTTTGTTTAGAATTTTGAAGGGAGCGCAGGAGATAGGTTTAAAGGCACAGTTGTTTTCACCTTGTATCCTCCGTTCCTTTCTTCATGGTTTCCACCCAAAATGGCTGCCACTGACCAGCAAAACACAAACAAGCAAGGAAGTGGGTGAAATCTGGCTGCTCGGATATCTGAACCAGCTGTTTGTGTTACCAGGTTTGGGTAAAATTCTTTGTGTTTCGATAACTGACATTTCAGATGACAAACGTTCCGATAGTGGGACCTGCAGTCCCACAGAATGGAGGATTCTTCTGCTCTGTGGCCTGACCTATGGAGGTTCTGTGGAATAGTCTAGGTCAATTTGTGTTAGGATTCTAAAACAGAATGAATGTGCTGCTGTTTATACTCATGCTAGTTAAGGGTCATTAACTTATTGTTCTTTCTCATAACTTGTCAGGGACCTGCCAGGGGTGGCTTCCACAGAAGAAACTTGCATTCCATTGTTGCTTATTGATACAGCTGGCTGTGGCTTATTTGAGCTTGAGCTGGAAGATGAACAGTCTAAAGGAAATGAAGGTATTGTTGTTTTACCTGCTATGGTTCTCCACACTCCCACCCTGGAATCAGTCCCCCCCCCCCCCAGCCTCCACATTTCAAGTTACATTATCCATGCATGTGCTGTAATTTCAACTGCTACTACATTAAAAAGGTTGCCTTGTGCCCGCGGTGTTGAAAGTGGTAGCCCTGGGGAGTTACTGAAGAATTTAGTTATGCTATTAGGATCTTGGCCACCACACATGGAAATGAATATGAATACATCCGTGGAAAAATCTTGGGGTGTCAAGGTTTAGACATGCTTCTTGTGGTCCTAAGATGGATGGATAGCCTGTGTAAGGCATCCGGTACCTTTCAAAACTCCTTCAGTAGTAGAACAGTGCAATTTACATGGGCTGTACATTTGCTACAAAGTACCAATAAGTGCAGAGGTTTTCAACCTTTTTGAGTCCACAGCTCCCTTGACCAACTACATTCTTTCTGCGGCACCCCTATGGGACTCAGGAGCCCAGTTGTGTCACCCCTTGCCTGCAGAGCTGGCAGCCTCTCGCCCTTTTTCAAACACCCTCTCTTGGGGAGTGTTCCCTCAGCCGCCTTTCCTTTCCTCTCCCCTCTCCCCTGTCCTTTCGGCAGCCATTGCTGCTGCCCCTGGTCTCTGAGCTGCCCCACCCCACCGCAAAGAGAGGTGCCTCCTCACACTGCCCCATAGGAGTCTGGGAAGAGGATGCCCCCAGCCTTAGTGGCCCAACAGACTGGCTAAAGGTGAATGTGAGGCCAGCACCTTACCTTGGGAGGCAGCAGTGGGTGCTGCTGGGCCTGCAAGATGGAAAGGCTCCCCTTCAGCACCAGGCCCTCAGCTCCCAGGCAGGCCTTGCACAAAGCAAGGACAAAAGAGGCCAGCGTGGCACCTGTCTAGCTGGCCTCATACTTGTCTGCCAATTCCCAACAGCAAGGGCTGGTGGGCTGGCTGGGCTCCTTCACCCGCTTGCTTACTTCAAGGCCACCTCAGCTCCTGGCAACCAGCACTCCTTTACCAGCCCCTGAGGCACCATTCGCCTGCAAAGCTTGTAGCCAGGGCTGCTGCAACAAACAGCTATGCAAGCCTTTGGGAGGTAGAGACACGAGAGTTCATCAGAGGAGAGAGGGAAGGAAAGAGGGACAGAGGCCAGTGTTGCCCGTGGCACCCCTGACCATCATTCAAGGCACCCCAGGTTGCCATGGCACACTGGATGAAAACCTCATTACCATGGATGTAGCAGAGGTCCAGCCAAATTATCAAGACCACAGTGTATTGTAGCCAAACAGCAGGTGGAAAAACATGCAGCTGGAGAGGAAAATGGATTGTAGATAACTAACCATGGATGATGAAAATTTCCATTTGGATTCAACATCACTGCACTAGACAAGGTTTATAGAGCGACCTATCAAAATACATCCTTCCCCAAAGACCTTGAATTCTCAAAAGCAAAAAGCAGGAGAACGACAGATTATCTAGTTCAGCCTCATGTTCTAGGGTAAGATAATAAAGTACCTTAATGAAAGTTGACAGAGCTTAACAGGGCTGGACCAAGACATTTTACTCCCTGAGGCAAAAAGCAAGATGGTGCCCTTGCCCTGTACAAAGGCTGACTGGGCCAACAGCTGAATTCTATTTCAACACTGGTGACAGGATAGCATCCTTCGCTTCTATCTGGGAACTGCTTAGGAGGAGTAGACAGGGAGCTGCCATTGCTCTCTCTAACACACACACACACACACACACACACACACACACACACACCTCTCAGCATGTGCTTCCTGAGACAGTCATCTCACTTTGCCTAAAAGTAGGGCCAGTCCTGGAGCTGAGGAGGAAGGGCGCCTGTGATGATTGTTGGATCAGACATCTGTGGTTTAAATAGCACTCTTGAATTGCAACACAAGCTCTGAAGCGATGGGCAAAGTCGTATGTTGTCAGCTTGAAGTGCTGGACTCTCCTGGTTCCCATATGGTTTGTTGGTACAGCTTAGCTGAGAGAGCTTTCAGTTCTAATTGCCTTGCCGCATAGCACTTTGTCAGATCTCTCAGTGAACAAGGCACAGACCTTCACAGTTAATGGGTCAGAAAGTGCCTGACCATGTTGGTGGCATATACAGCAATTCTGCTAACAGAGAGAAAGGCCAGTTCTCTGAGCACAGAGAGTTCTGGAGTTATAAATCAGCCTAGCAACTGTTTGTGAAGCTCTGTCTCTGTTGCTGAATAAATAGGAAGGTTTCCAGTCTCACTGAGCTCCAGTAGCAGTATTCATTTGGGAATTCTAGACTGCATTTAGGAGTGAGAAAGGGGTGTGCTCATGGGACAGGGCTTGAGAGCAAGGAGGTAACTTTGCATATGTTGCATGCACATTATGATCTCCACCGGGGTAACTGATGTGGTGTCATCTAAATGTTGCCATGTTGTAACTGCCATCAGCCTCAACTAGCTTGGCCCTTGGTTGGGTATGATGGGAGTTGTAGTCCTACAGCTTCTCAAGGGCAATCAGCATTGACAACCCTTTATCCATACTAAGTAATTGAAGTGCTGTCTATGTAGGAATTGCGTAATGTTTGAAGCAGCCCTTGTTGTCAGTACCAGCAAGTCTTAATTCAGAAACATAGTGAAATGGGCACACAAATAAATAGGCACCAGCTTCCAAAGGCAAATAGCTGCAAGAGCCGTCGTCTAAAATATGAATTTCCTAACCTATGCTGGATCAGTTCAAAGGCAGATTTCACTTCTCGGAATTGGGGTGGGGTTATCTTGGCATTTTCAACATTGATCTTGCTACCCTTGAGAATGTGAACTGTGATGTGTTGCTTGTATCTGACCGTGTTGTATGGAACTCATAACCATTTGCCCAGCTATTAAAGAAATCCATAAGGCATACAGCCCGTATTTGTAAATTATTTAAAATTATTTTTACCAACAAAGCAATACTACTACTACTACTACTACTCCTACTCCATGCATGTTTCCCTTGTAAATTTCATTAAGGGATAATTTGAGATCTCTTATTTCATATGAGGAGATGTAGGGCATCAAGTAGCTTGGTGAATGTTTGAACTATAGTCAGTTTCAGAACTTTATGATCCATAGCTTGAAGCTGCCTTGTTTAACTAACCAGTTTGTTCTAAATCACAGTCTCTGGCTTGTACATAATGCTAAATCAGGAATCTTTGAAAGTGAAACTAAATGCTGCAAAAGTGTTTCTGGTATCCACGTGGGAAAAAGGAAGCACACAATCTCAAGGGTTTGCTTAGGTTCATTCTAATTTGTGCACATAGCACTAAACCATGGCAAAGCACTTTACTGACTGTAAAGACTTGTTTTTAAAGTGGCAAGTGAAAGGCAGCCTCTCACTATCATTGTCTGAATTGGATGCTTTTTAAGTGGAATCTGTCAACTTGTTCTAGGGTTAAATCGCTCATTCACAGCTAAGTTTTATTTCTCCCCTTCCAGGCGAAGCGCGTCTTGCCAGCTTGCACGTTCAGGCTTTAGTGGAAGCCGGTGTTAAGGCAAGAGACATTGCTGTCATTGCTCCTTACAACCTCCAGGTGAGTGTGTCTGCCATGCTCTCAAAAGCACAACATTTCAAAGTAAAAAATTTAAAGCCCTGGGACTTTAGGATGAAGGGTGGGCAATAAATTGTAGTAATAACGTTTGTTGTCCTAGCAACGTCTTTGTTTTTCAGGTGGACATGCTAAGGGAGCTTTTGTGTCACAAGTACCCAGACCTGGAGATTAAATCGGTGGATGGCTTCCAAGGAAGAGAGAAGGAAGCTGTTGTCCTCTCTTTTGTAAGGTCCAACAGAAAAGGTACATAGGTTATAACCTGGAACCATATAGAACAAAAAGAAACTTAATTTGCCAGAATCGGGAAAACTGTTAAAATTGTGTGGTTTCAACTGGCTCCTTCTTTGGAACAAGGTGCTGACCTCTTCTACACATGCTCTCGGCATCAAAGGAGATGCTTCCACGTGGTGTAATCACATCCTACAGGGGAGTACTTGGGAGTAGCATGACTATGTGGACAGTACCAGTTGCATGAATCATTGGCACCTTACCTCCTGGTTCATTTCCTAATGCATTGGCATCTCCCAATTGTTTTAGCCAACATGATTGTGTTACTCCTGCAGCATGTATCACATCACATGGAAGTGGTTTCCACTCCTAGGATCCCATATGCAGGGAACCACTGTTGCTTTTCCCAGAACAGAAGATTCTCAATAATTAACTGTGCAATGGAAAAGTAATTTATATGGCAAAACACACTCCTTTTTGTCCAGAGAGCCTTGGAATGGGTGTTTCCAAGCATAGGCTGAAAACTCTGGTGGCTAGGCACATATTCTAATACAGGGTCAGTCCAATACATTTTGCTGCCTGAGGCAAATGACAAGATGGCAGCCTCTCCATTCCACATCGCCACACACCAGCCTTTGCCATCTGCGGCGGCTGCCTCTCTCTGCCCAATAGTAGGACCAGGTCTGTTCTAACAGGCAGATTGATCTACGGGGGTTGATTTTAAAAACCAAACCTGTGGCTATTATTGTCATGGCTACTCACGCTACTACTATTACTACTTAATATACAGGGTGATTCATAATGAGGTATACAGTTTCCATTATTGTATACTTCATTATGAATCACCCCGTATTATGTCTTAGAAATTAATTAAGAAAGAGTGGACTGTTAATTCAGGCACCTTTGGAGAAGGCAGGCAGTCCTTCAGGTAAGCCAGTGGTAATTGCTGGATACTTGTCATCTGTCAGCTCTATTGTAGTGAGTACAACACAGTTGTCCACAGCTCTAAAAATTCCACACTGTAGCAAACCTGAACTGACCACAAACTTGCTGGGTGCGGGTCAAAAGCTAGCTTGTTTCCCAGGTGTATTCCGTTTGGAAATACAACAGATACTTCGCTACAGCTGGCAGCATCCTGCCCAACAAAATTGGGGAGTGGAGCTTGGTAGGCTCTGCTCAGAGCACATACTCTTTTCTGCTTTCATGGCACTAGGTTGCTGAAGTCAAAGCAGTAAAACTTTTCCTTGCTGCTTTTCTGCTATGTTCTTAAGTGAAGTTAGCAAATAGCAGCATGTTCTTCTATTATGATTTGTTATTATTTTCCAGGTAATGCTTGTTAAGCACACATTGGCAACCTAATACACTTTAATGTACCTACAGGCTCTGTTCTGAAATGTTCTATGTCTTCAGATGGTAGCAACAAAAGCCTGCCCCCCTCATTTGGTTTTAATGTTTGTTTTTCTGCTTGTCTTCTGCTTAGCTGCAGGAGCAGGGGACTCAGCTACACCACCCAGGCTAGGCAGCTGAGCTGACTCAACTTGGCATTTGCTTTCTGTTGTTACAGATCCTTGAGAAAATAATTGGAGATCAGAAATAGCTTCTGGAAAAGTCTCATATGTGTCTGTCATTTTTATCCATTGGCTCACACATGTGTGCTAGTTAATTGCCTTTAAAAATAGCATTCACTATCTTTCCTTCTGACCTTTATGAAAGTTAGACTTGTGTCAATAACTAGGAAAAAGGAAAGTGTAACTGCAAGGCTCTGTGGGAGCTTTCTCTTCCTAATTTCTGCTGAAACAATGCGGTCCTGACCTATAGCTTAAGGCCAATTCCATTGCAGACATGAACTTTAGATAGTTAATCAGCTTGGACCATCTGTATGAATATTACTGCTGTTCTGCTTCTGACACTTCAAATCACAGTGATGTGAATCAATAATGAGTATCTGTGGCTTGTGTGCCACATTAAGTCGCAGAAACTTAAATTTTCTGGTTCTTGGCCATTTAGTGGACTCTACTTCCCCTACTTAAAAATTAAATGGAATGAAGCTGTATTTTCAGCTTGATTTCTCAAATGAGACCGAAGCAGTATTGTGACAAAAAAGTCACAAAATAAGTAGCGCTTTAAATAAATGGTTTTGTTAAAAGAGATAGTTAACTAATTACTTGTATTTTCACAAACCAATTAAGTCATCAGCTGAAGTCTAACATGTTTATCTGTTAGCTAAATCATAGTAAATGTACCTTTTTAGATATTTAAGAAAGTGTAAGGTAACTTAAATGTAATAATCTAAAGCTCCCCCAATCACTGTTTAAATGAAATGATTTTTCCCTTTTACAGTAACACACCAGAACTAATATAGCCTCAAAAAATAAACCAGTGTGCCATCAGATCTCAGTCCCGGTGACTACAGTTTCCCATCACTAATTAGTTTACATGAGAGCAAACCCCACTAGATACAGTGCAACTTGCAACTGAATAATCATGCATAAAATGATGTTATGAAGCTGCAAGTGGTAAATCAGTTAATGAAATTCATTAATTGGTGAATTGAGATCCCAATACTGATCCTTGGGAGAGACTACTATCTACACTCCTCCATTGGGAGAACATTTATTCACACTCTCTGCTCTCTGTTACTTCACCAGTTCCTGATCCACAAAAGGACCTCACCTCTTATTCCATGACTGCTAAACATGCTTATGAGTCCTTGGTGCGGTAGTTTGCCAAAAGCCTTTTTGAAAGTCTAAGTTGAATCACCTCTATCTATAGCCTTATTGTCCCTCTGAAAGAACTCTTCAGCAGGGCTTGTTCTCCTGTATGCTTGGTTATTTCATCTTTAACAACACTTTCCACCTATTTTCCCATAGCCTTGAATTCATTGGAAGAAAGTTGGGCTATAAATGTATGAAATACATACATTTTCACTTTCATATTCATTTGACCAGCTTAAGCAGTGATATGACCTTGGGAGATGTTTTTGTCAACATAAGCATTTCTGCTTGCCTGATGGAACAATCTCCCCCCTTTTCCCTCCACACTGTCCTAGCAGTTCTGCCACCCAAATGCTGAGCCATTGTGGGGGGCAGGAGAAGGGGGGGAAGCCCTGCTTCACTAGCAGAAGACCTTGCTAGGCTCTTGATAGCAGGACCCATTAACTGGACCAGGTCCTGAGTTCAGAAAACTAAAGCAAGATTGCACAGTGCAAAAATGGTGTCCGTGTTCGTAATGATCAACCTGAAGTGCATCTGATCTTGTAGTTTGTTGTGGTAATGAAGTTTGGCTATATTTATTTTGCAGTTCCTATACTTCTGTAGGTATAGGATTATATATTGGGCATAGGCTACAACACCCTAAGAAACCTCAGAGTTCATCTAGCTTTTGTGTGATAATAAGAATAAGTTTGTAGTAATATACTTGTTAATTATGTATTGATCAGTGTAGTTGCTTATAACTCTTTGGTAATTGCAGAAGGGGCCCTTGTGACCCAAAACATGTTGAGGTTTATGTATGTATGAATGAATTATTTCTTTCTATACTCAACGATGGAATTATTCATGCATTGGTATTGGTTGCTCATTGAATACTGTAATGTGGAATGGTAACTTCAACTGCAGGAGAGCTTCAGTTGCATAGACTCCAGGTGTCTATTCCAGTGAACAGATAAAACTGGGATTTAGGTCCACCCCTCTGCCACTGACAGCCATCTGGCACCAAGATAGCAGGGAAGCTTGAACAAACCATAGCATAGGATCCTATGATATATCCATTTGGCCTTAAAGGTGCGTCTCATAACAGATGTCATGTCCTGGCATTTTGGAGCTGAGTGAACATGAGAATTCCTTAGGTCAACATATTAAACTGGAAAATTTAGGAGGAAACTGTATACATTTTGTTGTGGTGGTGGTTACTATTGTTATTGCTACTGCTGCTTAATTTTTCCATATGCTGTTTTTTTGAGGCCTGTATTATTGTCTTTATGAAATACAGGTGAAGTAGGATTCCTTGCTGAAGACCGGAGACTAAATGTTGCAATTACTCGTGCCCGCCGCCATGTAGCTGTGATCTGTGACTCTCAGACCATTGGCAACCACATTTTCCTTAAACGCCTAGTGGACTATATGAACCAGCATGGGGAGGTGCGCACCGCTTTTGAATACCTGGATGACATTGTGCCAGATAACTATGCTGCTCCCAAGAGCTCTCAGGGTCTGGGTGACCAAGAAAAGAGACTTAAGTGCAACACTCCACTTGCCCCAAAGGCTGATGGAGAGAAGCCAAGAGGAAAACCAGCCAAACGGACCGGGCAGAGGCCCATAGAGGCTTCTGTGCAAAGCCCAGCCTGGGGGGCAACAGTGGATACTGTAGTGAAGGGCAATTCATGTAAGCATGAAGCCAGGATACTGGAGTTTCTGGAGAGTAGCGAGACCCAACTGGATTTCCCTTCATCATTAAATGCTCATGACAGGTTGATTGTCCACCGTCTGGCAGAGGAACATGGGCTGCAGCATGTGAGCACAGGAGAAGGTAGAGAGAGATACATCAGTGTCCGTAAGAGAGGCACCACGACAGACTTTTCTCTGGGAGATGCTAAGGCCTGTGAACAAGAGTTGTCCTGCAGACCTGCAGGCACCCCCAAAGAATCCCGGGCCTCTGAAAAAGAGTTAACCTGCAGACCCCCAAGCCCCTCGAAAGACACCCATGCCTACTGTGAGGAGAGTGGAAGCCATATGAGCAAGAAGAAAGTGGATCTGAAAACCCTGCACATGGAGCGGATGCAAAGGGAGAAGGCCAAGAGAGAGGAGAGGGCCAAACAAAGTCGTGAGCCAAATGTAAATCTTCAGGAAATCACTGGAAATAAACATGGAAGTGAAGCGAAAGGTACATTATTATACCATCTTGGGATTTGCCATTCTGTAGCAAATTCCCTTCCTTTGCAGAGCTTTTCTATTTGCATTTTTAAAAGGAAACAGTGATGATACTTCACTGCTGCCCTTTCCTTTGTCCCATATTTAATTGAAATTCCTTTGCAGAGGCATTCCAGGGAATGTATCCCTCAGGCATCCTTTGGGAAATTCCAGGCCAGAGCAGCAGGCGATGGGAGTCCTCTGCTCCCAGAATGGCTTTAAAAATTGATTGCAGCTTCTACGTTGTGCCTACAATCCATTTCTCCCCTTCTGCTCTGCCTGTGACAGGCTTTTCTTCTGAAAGCAACTACTTTTGACAACAACCAGGAATGCAGTTGAAGTTAATTGTTCTGAGACACAGAGATTATTCATCCAATAGGTTTCCTTTGAAGGGATCAGGAGAATGCCAGGCTTTGGTTTTGGAAATATGACATGTGCCTCTGCCCACCCCAACCCTTGAAAGCAATAACTGAGATTTGCAGACAAAAATGACCCAGGGCTCAGATTAGCTTGCTCTGTGGAACAGTTGCTTTGAGTGTTGTGCAGGTAGGAAGAAAAGATGTGAAGCTGGCAGCCATTCCACCCCCTCCCCCAAGGCAAGGGTTTATCTGGACCATGCTGTATAATCAACTGTGGAATGATAATATTGCCTGGATCTGCATGTTTGTAGAGGCAGTATGTCAGTGAGGAGGAAGAACTTCTCAGCTCAAAAATAGATCCGTAGAAGGGAGAATCTCCATCTGCCAGTTTAGGAGAATGGGGTGTGTGCGTTCGTTTGTATATGCTTCATATGCATACATGTGCACACACTCCTTTTCTCTTACGGCTAACTTTGAAGAGAAGTGGAAACCTCCACACACAGAGAGAATTCACTTGCTCTTGGATCTGTTTAGAAGCAGCAAATCAGCACCTAGTATATCGATCTCAGTGCTGTGTAACACAGCAGAGTACAGTCTCTCTGTGTGCATATTTTCTTCTTTGCCCAGTTTATCTTGCTTGAACATTCTGGGTAGGGATTTCATCCTGCCAAGTGATACTGCTTGCTTCTGCATGGTTTACAAAGCCATCTGTTCTCATGTGTGTGCGCAAATGAAGACAGCCTTCTGCCATTCCATACATCTGAGGTTGCGATTGCTCCCTGGGTTTCTGTTTTTGCTGATCAGCTTGTTTTGCAGGCTTTACTAGGGGACTGGATGAACACACCTGTGCCCCTTTTATTCCCATGAAAAAACACTGTGTTGAAATAATAGAATCTTAAAAGTTGGAAGGTACCCCAAGGGTCATCTAGTCCAACCCCCTGCAATGCAGGAATCTAAGCTAAAGCATCCATGACAGATGGACATCCAACTTCTGGTTAAAAACCCCCAAGGAAGGAGAATCCACCACCCCTCGTAGGAGTCTGTTCCACTGCTGAACAGCCCTTAACTCTCAGCTCATCTTAACTCTCAGCTCATCTGTAAGCTCCTTTTATTGCATGCTGATGATTCTCCTCCCCACCCTTGTGCTTTTAGGGAAGGCTTCTGTTAAAACCAAAGTGGAAGGTTCAGCAGAGGAAGATTTTGATGCTCTGATTTCTGCTGCAATCAAAGCTGACAACACATGTGGTTTCCCCAAATGCAAAGCAAGTGTGACAACCCTGGGGCAGCTCTGCCTGCATTGCAATAAACGCTACTGTCTCAGCCACCACATCCCAGAGGTATGTTTTTGTCCTTGCCTGGTTCAGGTAAGCTAAACATTGCCACCATCTGCTCAGTTTCTTGACCCCCCAGTCCTTCAGGACTTGAATTTCATCCAGTGTGAAATGGCTGTGTGTGTTTTTTTAAGTATTTCACAGACTCCCATTTTTCAAGGAGGCTTCCAGGCACAGCAAGGTGAGCTTTTGAACCATTCGCAAGGCCAGTTGAACATGTGCAAATCCGCTGGTTGGTGGATTGCTCCCATTCCTCTTTACTTTATTTTTTAATTTAAAAAGATAACATGAAAATCTTCTTTTAGGGTATGAGGGGGAGCAAGGTTTATGAAAGCCATATAGCATAATATGCACATGCAGTTCAATTCACAAGGGAACCATGAGTGGGGGGAGTTGCCTCCAGCTTAATATATCCTAATAATGGGGAAGTTCTCTCCTGCTGGTCTATAAGTGAAAAAAGAAACTCATTCAGAGGTGCTTTTTTTTGGCCTACAGTTGGAGGAATATGAAGCATTTTCTTCTTCCTTTGGTACTTTGTATGGATTTAGTTATTATGAGCCTCTGTGTGTCTGAAATCTCACTCCAATCTTTCACCAAGCTCTAATATGAGAATGGCTTTCTTTCCTGTCAGGTTCACAGTGTACTTGTATTTCCCCTCACCCACCCACTTAAGACCTTTAACAATAATAATACGCCCCCCATTTCTTCCCTGTCTCTGTTCTTCGTGGTGTGGAGAATAGAAAGGATGGGTCTCCTTGATTGGAATAACGAGGCAAGGCCTTTAACACAGGCACTTAGCATTGCAGGGCAGAGGACCTGTGTTTAACAATGTGTCACTGCTGAAATAATGTGTTTCTTCAGAGTCTTTTTTCTTCCCCCTGAGTGTCTGAGTCATTTCCTCTTGGCACAATGTACCTCAACTCACCTCTCTTCTTTTAACATTCACCCCCCGCTCACAACCTGTTCAGATGCTTGTGGGAGACTGATGCTCTAGAAAATGTGTGTATCTGAGGTGCTGGTGGTGCTAGCCTAGAGAGGGCCACTGTTCTGTGGCATACAGCACATACCCTTGCATGCATAAGGTCCCAGGTTCAATCTCTGGCATCTCCAGCAAAAAGGTCTTGGGTAGCCTTGCTAGGCAGTGCCCAAGCCTTAAGCCTGCTCCATGGAGAGTCAGTCCATACTGAACTAGGTAGACTTGTGCTCTGCTTTTCCCCTCCAAAAAAGGAGGTGCTCAAAGTGACTTGCAAATGATTTTAAAAGGCATCTTCATATGACACCAGCCATGCCATGTGTTCTACTCAACTATAAGCCTTTTATCTATCTTCTCTCCCTTTCTCCTTCATCACACTGTAGATTCATTGGATACCATGCACCAAGAGCAGCTTTAAGTAAGAGAAGTTGTGCAAAGCCCTTTCTCACTCTCTTGCCCAAGCTGCTGTTGTCACACTGGTACAAGAGATACCGAAAGCACAGCAGCTCACCTGGGTGCAGCAGGCTTTATCCTCAGAAGCCTCCTTCCTTCTAGGTGTCGGTCAAAGCAAAAGGTCATCCTTTGCCCATCACTGCAGCTGTAGCAAAGATTGGAGTGAGTTGTGAGTTGCACTCAAATTGCAGTCCAGGACTCACAGAAGGTGGGAATGTCTCACTCTGCAATTCTGTTAGAGCTGCCCAATGGCTGTCTCTATGTAGCACAAAAAAGACCTGTGTGCCAGGAAAAATAATACTGACTTCCAACGAGCTTTCAGATGTCCTCTTTATGCCCCTCTGATTTATTTGAAGCAGTAGATCATACGTGGTTTTAATCCCATGGAGAAAGTGTTGTAGCTAGCTGAAGACATGTTGATCTATAGTGCCTGAAATAGATTTACTAGATTATGGATTTACTGGCATTCGGCCAACAGTTTGAGTTGACTTTCTTTCTAACCGTAAAATAAAAGTATATACAGCAATATTTTCTGTGGCACATGCTGCAGCAAGGAAAAAATCAGCAAAACAGTGGTGGTCTTAAATAGATATACTTATCATGTGACACTTGCTGGTGTTTCAAGGCAAGCTTGAATCGAGAAAAATCTTATTTGAAGGATTTGTGAATGAAGGAAATAAGAGTACAAAAAACATGTAGGAAAATACTCCAAATGTTCTGGTATTCTGTAGTTTTGATTTCAGAGTTTGCTGATTTCAGAGTTGTATTGGTAGAGAGCTACACAAAGGAGATGTGATCCTGAAAAACTAAAGGCAGATTTCAGCGCCCTCTGTGCAGGAGGACCCCCCTCCCCACTGCCATGCTGGAGGTCCCTTTAAGAGAACAGGGTTCTGAACAAGAGTGTGATGCAGAGGTGGCTAAGCTGTGGCCGTCTGGATGCTGTGAGACACCAGCTCCCATTGGCCCCAGCCGATGATGAGAGTTGTGGCCCAGCAGCATCTGGAGGGCAACAGATTCCCCTCCCTTTATACAGGAACACAGTCACATCTGTTCCTTTAGTTCCAATGAATAGAAAAGGCACAACTTACAAATGCAGAAATGATTGCCAGTTTCTTTTCCCTCTTAGCCACTGTGGAGCAGCTGCATGCATAAAAGGAAATCTGATTGTGTGAACAGGCCCCGGGTGTGTGTGTGCCTGGATTAATAGGTTCATAGAATTGTAGAGTTGGAAGGGACCACAAGGGTTATCCAGTCCAACCCCCTGCAATACAGGAATCTTTTTGCCCAGTGGGGGGCTCAAACCCACAACCCTGAGATTAAGAGTCTCATGCTCTACTGACTGAGCTATCAATAAGGTATTGCAGAAGAATGTATTCCCCTTTAGTATCCAATCACAAAAGTATTTTGTTAGGTCAACTTAAAAGTGAGACTTTTAATTTTTAAAAAATGGTTAAATCAGTTCAACTGTCCAGCTGTCATAGTATAATTCAGGTAGAGTTGAAGGTTTAATCTATCCTAGCCTGAATTTTGGACCAGTTAATGAGATAGAACTCATTTTAGAGGGACTGCAGGGTTTGATCCCATATAGTCGCATCAAGTCCCTACCTTTTTACTGACTGCAAATTGCTTGCCATTTTATACTGCTTGAGAGTATTTTGTCATTTTCTTTCAGCTTTGGACAAAATCCAGCTGTATTAGCTCCTTGTTAAAATGAATTCTTCTAAGCAATAGCTTCAGTGCTTTCCCACCTTAATAAATCTTGCTTTCCAGCAACCCAGCAGGCTTGCACTTTGTCACTCATCTGCAATAAAACGAGTTTCCTTCAAAGCTGTTTTTCAGCCATTAGTTTATCCTTCCTGTTTATATCATTAATGTGCATACTTGTCTCTCTAGTTATCTTTCCTCCTGATGTGCTTACAAGTCATTCAACCTGTGGTAGCTTCGTCTCTAGAAATCCTAAAATGCAGAGATATTACATGTCTCTATTCCCTTCTCTTTCATACATGTAGTATGTGTCCTTTTAAATCTGGTGTTTTGGCAGCCCTTTGTGGGTCCATAATACTTTCTTCATCCTCCTTGCACTTAATTTTCTTCCACAATGCCCCTTTATATCTTTGTGCCTTGTAGAATTTATCTCATGGATGACTTGCATGTTGCCTACTGCCACTTGTCATCCTCAATTTGCTTTCTGGCTCCTTCTTTTATACAATGTGTATTTAGCTCCAGCAGTTAGGCCAAGAAGCAGGCCATGCTGATGACTCAAGGTTGGGAGATTACCGTATTTACCAGTCAATATAACATGCTTCCTAAGAGTGAGGGAGGGGGGTATTGGTGGCCTGGAGATGAGTGAAAATCACTACCTACAAGAATCCAACAGGTTTATTAATAAATAGTTTTGTCATGAATCTAAGGCATTGTGATTTAGAATGCAAAGACTACAAAGTTCTGTAGAAACTGTTGAAAAACAAATAAACCAGCCTTGTGGGGGCTTTCCTGTAGCTTGGCTTGGGTGAAATTTTGAGGGGCTGCTGACATAACTGATCATATTCCTTGGAAGAATTTTGTTTTCCATTCAAAGCCAGAGAATAAATTATTGGAGAAGTTTCACTCAGTTTCATAACACAGCTATACTGGGCAAATTTCTATTCTGGGCTAGGTAATTACAAACTTTACAAACATTACTTGTGACAGCCAGTCTGCAGGGGGCCCAACAACACAAAAGAAACAAGGAAATGTGATGCGTTGTTTTACTTATTTCTTCAGCTAATACTCTGTTCTGCAGCTTATATGGCTATTTCCATGGAGTTTCTTTCTCAATCAGGCACCGGCTAGACAAACCTGCTTAGCTTTATATTTTGCACCCAGCACTGTGGACATTTAAGCTGCTTAGGTGAGGTGGTGGTATTGCCAGTTTATTAGCAATATATAAGATGTTTTTTGTTACGATTCTAGGGCTTGATTGTTCTTGGTTTCCCTCCTTTCATCTGATTCTTTCCAGACTGGAGATAAGTGAGAAATGTTAGTATTTATCAACAAGGGTGACAAAGGTGACCGGATGATGGAGTAGAGATTTTCCTTACATATTTAGAGTTTGGGAAGAAATACTTAATCTGTCCAAAATGATTATTTAATTGCTCCTTAGGGGAAAATGACCTTCACATTTTTTAAATTGTTTTGTTTTGTTGTTAAAAGACCCACCGGTAAGTGAAGTAGTTTATTTTTATGGACTGTGAAGAATGATCAAGTTTATGATAAGCAGTTTTCACTAAGGTCGTAATTTTGTGCTGGAGCATCTTGAGGCTGATATTATGGCTTTATCTCCCACAGATTCATGGCTGTGGGGAGAAAGCCAAAGCATATGCCCGGCAGAGAATCAGCAAAGAAGCTTCTCTATGTGCTGGGAGTGGGTTAAAGGACAAGCCCTTGGATCCTGCCAAGAGAGCTCATCTCCAGAGGCGCCTGGACAAGAAACTCAGTGAGCTCACAAGCCAAAGAAAGAGCAAAAAGAAAGACAAAGAGAAATGAGAGGATTTGCTATGTCAAGGCAAGATGCTCGCCTGCCTGTCCTTGAGGCACCTTCGTACAGCAGCATGCTCAGGCTCCAGAGGAAAAAGCTCATCACTCTCTTAAACCTTTTGGCTTCTTTCCCCCACCCCACTCCCCCAAAATCAAGAATAGGTCCTCCAGCTTCATGGTCCTCAGAGAGCCAGAGACTGACTGAAGAAAGGTTCCCACCGTCTGCAGGTTTCAAACAATTCTCAAGTTGCGTCTTGCACTGTAAAATGTGTTTTTCCTCAGTCATGTCAGAACTATAAAGCCCCGTTGGTTAAGGAGAAAGGTGGGCAGCTTTTGTTTGTAGTAATTATCTTTATTGGCAAGGTAATAAATGTACTCTGAGCGGGCGCAGAGCAGGTTTTACAATAAAACGGTGATAGCATATGCCTTGAGCAGTGAACTGTCCGTTTGACATTGCATGGTAATGTAATAATCATTGTCCGTGGGACTCCTGGCCTCCCCCCATGTGTGTGAGCAATAAAAACCTCTCCAGGTGGTCCACAAAATTAAGGGAATACAAATAGCTTTTTCCATTTCTCAAGCTCAGAAACTTTATGTTGAAAGAAAAGATTCTAAAAAAGATGTGTTAAAATTGTGAGGGGACAAAGTGAAGAAAAATCTAGAAAAATAACCTGGGTTCACTGGCCCAGCACATACACTTTTACTGGAATATGCTGGGATTGAGCGCAGGTCTTCTGCATACAAAGATATGTTCCACCCCTATGCCACCACTGTGTGTTATGGACCCTAACTTACAGTAGGGAAACCTCAGGGCCAGGGTCCAAATTAAGTCCTTGCAAGTCTCTCTGTTTCATCCCTGAGACTCTTCCCAGTGCCACATCCCTCACTGGGCCTGCGCTAGGCCCACGTCAAGTGCTTTAGCCTGTCTTGAATGTGTATCTGAACTGTGGTGCTGAGGGGTTCCTGTGAGGGGATCCTCTGACTTGCACATGGCTGCAATGTGGTCTACTGTGCTAAGGTTGGGTCCGATCTGTTGTTCCACTTGTTTGTTTGTTTTCCTCTGACCCTTCCAGCCACCGACATGCAGCTCTTTGAAAGTTGTCCATGAGGGAATGTGTCCCTGCAGCTGAAAAGCATTTGCCATCCCTTGGCTTAGAATCACAGAATGTGTGAGGTAGAATTTTTTTCTCAAATTCATTCAAGTTCCAATAAAAATAGACACGTTTCTTTTTTGGGGAGTGTGTGGAGCTGTTTGTTTACAAAACAATGTAGTCCCACAAATAATTACCCAGTAGAGTTTTCATTGTGCAGAACTATATGCAACAAAGAAGCAGGGAAATAATGGTCCCATTTTCAGGGAAGGGCACTCAGTGTCATGTTGCTATGGATGTGGCCTCATGATTTTGTTCAGAGCTCCAAGTACTTTAAGAAAGAAAAAGGATGCATTCCTTTCCTGTTCTTTTCAAGCAGTGTCCTTTTCACCTCATCCTATGAACTACGCAAAATGGGTTAAGCTTCTGGTATCTAGAGCAAGTTAATTGTATTTTTGTTGGTTCTTTTATTTCTTATATTAAGAACAGAAGAAGAGCCTGCTGGATCAAGCCAGTGGCCCACCTAGTCCAGCCTACTGTTCTCACAGTGCTATTTTATTGTATTACAATTTGAATTCTGAGGAATGCAAATTGTACAGTATCTAGCACAATGCATTATAATTGCTACAACAGGCAGAAAAACCATTAAGTGGTCTGCCAAGGCCATCAGCAATTTTCAAGTGGTCCGTGGGGGGGGGGGTAGTTTGGGAACCACTGATCTAGAATGATTACAAGTCCCAAGTTCCTTTAGCCGCAAATGTCCTAGATGTTCTTGGCAGGATTTGTTCAGCCTTGGGCTCAAAAGCAATGGGACGTCATTCTCTTGCCATGCATGGTGTCTCTAAGGGTCTACAAATGCCCTGCAGTTCTACCATCTGCCAGTATTAACCTTGGGTTTGTTGCCCTTCCAATCTCTCTTCTCCTTTACTTTAAATTAATGTGTTCACTTTCTCTTGTCAGCCTTGAAAACACAAGAGGTGTTTGTGTTTTATCATCTGATCCTAACAATTGGTGTCACATCATTCTGAGATTCTAATAATGATGCAGCTACAACCTTGATTGCTCTTGGATTCTGAACCCATAACTTATAATGCGAGCCGACAATAATAAAATGAAATTGAATTCATTTTTTAAAAACCCACAATCATTATATTCTGCATAAAATTAATGTACTCTGTTTAGGAAAGCTCAGTGTGACCAGATGAAATTTTACCAGAGCAGAATGCTAAATGCAGATCAGTATGCAAGATCCAAAAGAGGATTTGGAGGTACGTTGGTCCTAATTGTGATAGATTGATTGAGGTAGGACTCCAGTGCATATTATTACACTCATTGTAGTGTGGGTGTCTGTGGGCAGGGGCAAGGAATCTGGAAAGTTTTAGAAGTGTATTCCCCCCCCCCTAAATGCAGACACTGGCAATTCTCCCTCGGGTTTTGTGTCTGTGTTTGTAATGTATAATATTAGCTATTTGAAGACATAACAATAACAATATGGTAACATAATAATATTTTTGTTATTATAATTTTTAAAAAGAAGTGTGGGGTGAGTAGTAGCTCCATTATTAAGATCTCTTTACACTTGACTGTGTTTGGGTTGCTTAGCACCTTCTAGTTTGGAGTGCTGCTGGCTTAATGAGCAACCCCTTCCTTTAGTATCACCTTCTGGAATACTTCAAAGATGACGAATAATGCCTTATTAGCAGAGCCCATTCTCTGAAATGTAAAAGAACAGAAGTGTGACCCAAGGTTACAGTGTAATTATAATAAATCTGAGGAGGACAATTCCCTCAATAGTTAGTTATTCCGTGCAGATAAAATATTTCTGAGCTAACATTAAAAAAAGTAAAAAATGGACAGACTTGCTGCCAAGCAGTTAAAATTTCCCTTGGGCTTCTTGCCCAGAAACCAGTTGATATTAGTTCTGTCATTTAAATTTTCCTTAAAAATATACAATGAAACCAGCACAAGGAAAGTCACCAGCTGGCAAGTCAAAGCTGAATTATTTCAAATCACAGCAGAATGGAACAGAGTATAAATCTCATCTGTTCTGCTTGTACCTCTATCTTCACATCTGCTTCTGCCGTTACTGATTTCCATAATTGTTTATCAGGGCTTAATTTGAACCTAGCACCTTCTCCTGTGTCTTACCATCATTGCCTTTGCTGGCACTTTTGGAGGGGAGATTGAGGAAGGGAGTTGTGACGCATTTAGGCTGTGGAGAAGACATCTGAGCCCCTGGACTGCTGTGGCTCCCTGGAGTGCAGCAAGGTTTGAACTTGAAGCGTTGATAAGCTTTCTCATTTATTTATTTGCCTCCTAATATTTATTTTGCTCTGTACTTGTTATGCATCATCTAGATGATTTCATTGTAATTTATTGCATTTATCCTTTTGGTTTTTCTTTGTTTGAATTTAGTGGTATGTTTTGTAACATTTTATGTTTGTATATTTATTTTAAAAATTGCTGTTACGAGCTGCTTTTGAGTGCAGTTCACTTGGGAAAGTGGCATAAAAATGAAATAAACTTAGCTCATTGCTTTTGATATCAGAGCTTAATCCCCTAATCAGCTGGGCAATAACGAGCATGTTCAAAGAACCTTCTCACCACTGAGTATCTATAGTCTGTTCCCACATATATCCAAGCAGAGTTGAGCTCCAATTCCACAAGATTTTTTGAAATTAACCACCAGTGTATGTTTGGGAGCTGGAAAGACACTAGCAATTAGTCCATGGACTGAAAGTTACTGTATCTTAACTAGTTCCAGTTCACTTTCATTGCTTTATTCTATGTCAACATAAATAATCACTATAATAAACAGGAGAATGTGGTCAGATGCCGCTAGTGATGTTATATCATAGTGGTGTGTATGAGCACCTGGCTTAAGAAGAAACCCTGTATGTTTCACTCTGTATATTGATTGTCAATGTGCACGTTCCTTGTGCAAAAGTTAGCATTTCTCAGGGTGGCTATTACTGGCTGAAGGAAGGCTGGATGGCTTTAAAGTTTAGATGCCTTGTGCTCCAGGAATGCAGATGAGCCTGCAAGAGCATGACATTATATATATATTCCCTGCAGAGAAGAATAGGAACAGCTTGCAAACTGAGCTGTCCAGGGTACTGAAAAACCTCGGCTCTTGTCGAAAGCAGTCCTGTAATTTATTCTAGCTGAGAAATTAATCATATCCTGTTGTAACAAAGCCCTGAAAACAGTGGAATAAATGTAATCAGTGTTAATGTGTTTCAAAATGTAGCTGTAGAATGGAACCCCCATAGTCAGTCACTCAAATACCCAGTCACTCATAAAAACCTGAATGATGTCACGAGGGTCCTTCAGACCATGTTAATCTAAGTGAATAAATATTGTGGTAAAGAGTTGCTGGAGAGGGTTTGCTAGAGAATCTGGCTATTGACAGAGGCTCATTTTAATAGATTTAGTGGATTTGATGGTGGTTATAATGTATATGTAGTGATTGTTGATGTTTCTGGATGATGCCATGGCCTTTGGTTAGTGCAGTAAAGTTTGTGGTGATGACAGAGGCTCATGCACTGCAAGTGTGAGGGGAAGATCAGTAGTCATTCAGCAAAGGTGGGAGAGGGCTTTCAGAGTTTTATAGATTCTAGAGATAGAAACAGCATAGCATAGTTGTACTATCCAGGACTGACACATTTTTGCTTTGTGGAATAGGCTGTCCCTAAGGACTCAAAAGGACTTAGTATCCTGTCCCAAGGGCAGGACTGCATTGGATGGGTTTAAGTTTTGGAAGGGTAGATTTCAGTTGAAAATTACAGAAAACAGTGGAATGCGATTTGTCAGTGGTTGGCTCTCCCTCACTGGATGTCTTCAAGCAGAAGCTAGACAGCCATCTCTTGGGGATGCTCTAGATTCCCTACATCAAACAAGGGTTAGACTGAATGGGTTACACAGCCCCCTACACTTCTGTGATTCTGTTCCTTCCTTCCTGGATCTATGTGGCTGTAGAATCCAAATCTGCAGCCTCTTTATCTGTGATAGCTCTGTTATGCTGCCAGGTCTAGAGGTAGCAATAATTTCATTTTGTTGCTTAGCAGGAAGGGTTTGTTGCCTCACTGCATCTTAGATCCAAGGAACAGTTCTGCATTTGTGTTTAGAAACAAACAATTCCCTGTGTTGTATGAAAAGACAGGGACTTGCTGCCTTTCATTTCAGCCCATTCACAGGCATTTTTAAGACAATAGTGTTTTTTGAGAGGCGTCAGCTGTGCAGAATCCGTCAGCCTCAGAAGGAGTTGTCTGAGTCACTGATAAGCCTGTATATAGTAATTGCAGTCTTGCTTCTCTGAGTACCAGTCCTTAGGTAGCCAAAACAGCACCATCCAAGCACAAGATGGGATATCTGGAGGCTTGGACGACTCAAGAATTACAGCAGTACAAAGCATCCCCCCCAAAAAGACCCAGTGAGAACTCCCATCACAAAAAACAGCCCAATGTGGATGAGCATGCCTTGTGTGATGCTAACTGTTGGGTTAAGTATAGAAAACTGGGCAGGAGGGGAAATGGAGTGGTGTGTCCTGGAAAAACTACTTCACCTTGGTTGGAACACTGAAGGTTCCACTGTGAGAGTCATTCTATATGGATCCAAAGTAGCACCACCCACACACAAAAGCGTGGTAACTCCTACAGGGATGAGGCCCCTCACTACACTCCAATGAACTGCCCAGAGAACTTGGTTGAGCAAGCTACAAGTGTTCTAAATAAATGAAGCTAGAACATGGAGCCAACCTATGGAATTGGTGCATAGTAGATTCAGGACAGCATCTTTTCAGGTTTTTGTGCTTGCACTGCTCTTTATACAACCATGAGGATTCCCCATCCCCTTCCCTCCCCAAGAACTAAAGTTTAAAATAAACATTCACAGTTTGTACTGTAAAGCAGACACTATAAATGCTTTATATTGGCACTGTACTCTAAAGCCACTCTAAATGCACCACTTTGTGCTATAAATGTGCCCAGGCTTTTGTGGGTGTTTAATTCCAGAGGGTTGGTTGTGATTTAACCCTGCCCTGGGTTGTTAGCTGCATTTTATCTGTGCCATAATGTTTTATGTTTAGAAATGTCATTTTATTGTATGCTACCTTGAAGCTGGATGGTTAAGGCAATTTAAAAATATTTTCATGACTAATAATAACAACCCGAAATGCATTTCTAGACATTATCTCCTTTGTTCAGTCACAAGATCAAAAACAACACAAGCCACTTATTTTTTTTGTTTTGCTGACTGGACAAACTCCAAAGGGCAATACATGACTGAGCACTTTGGGCTTCTGTTTTTCTAAGCATCTTTAAAGGGTGGTTCATTACAGTCCTCACTCTGCCGCATCAATGGCAGATTATCAAAGTGAACCATTTACAGTGGAATCAGGTATTAAATAGGGTTGTGTTACTGCCCCAACACTATTTATTGTTTCATCGCTGTGATCCTAGAAATCATATATAAACAGATGGAAAGCTCTTTAATCTGAATAGGCTAAAAGCAAAGAGTAAGGTTACCCAGACTTCTGTCATAGAGCTTCAGTATACTGATGACAGCGTTGTGTGTGCACACTCAGAGGATGACCTCGAAACCATCCTAAATATCTTCACATAAACTTACAAAAAGCTTGGTCTATCACTCAACAACCAAAAAACCAAAGTGTTGTGCCAACAAGCACAAAGTAACCCCTCTGCAGGGCCACAAATCAAACTCAATGGTGTAATGTTGGAAAGTGTCAATCCCTTCTCCTACCTAGGCAGTTATCTTTCCACAATTGATGCCGAAATCCAGCATCACCTGAGCTCTGGGAGTGCAGCTTTCTCCCAATTAAAGCAGAGTGTTTGAGAACTGGCACATTTGCAGGCCAACCAAATGCTTGTTTACAAAGCTATTGTACTACCAACTTTACTGTAGGCTTGTGAAACATGGACCACTTATAAACACTACATCTCCAACTCCTTGAAAGATTCCATCAGTTGAGTCTCCAAAAATTTTTACATGTCACTTGGGAAGACAGGCGAACTAATGTCAGTGTACTGGGAGAAGCAAAGATCACCCGTGTCAAAGAAATGATTCTTCAACATCAACTTCATTGGACTGGTCATGTTCTTCAGATGCCTGATTATTGTCTTCCAAAGCAACTACTCTATTCTGAACTTAAAAATGGAAAGTGTAATGCTGGTGGTCAACAAAAGAGATTTAAAGATGCTCTCAAGGCAAATCTAAAAAAATGTAGTATAAACACCGACAATTGGGAAACACAGGCCTGTGAGTGCTCCAATTGGAGAACAGCCTTTACCAAAGGTGTCATGGACTTAGGAGACGCTCAAACTCAGGACAAATGTGCTAAGAGGAAGGCACCCTTGGCAAACCCTCACCATGATTAGCTCCCGCCCAGAAATCTATGTCCCCACTGTGGAAGCACATGTGGATCCAGAATTCGCCTCCACAGTCACTTACAGACTCACTGTTAATACCGTGTTCATGGAAGACAATCTTACACGGCTACGAGTGATCACAAAGAAGATCATAATTTGTGCCCCACTGATAAATCTGTTTCATCAGGCTATGTCAGCTCCAGGGCAAAGCCACATTGCTCAAGTGAGCTATTTGGAGTCCATGGAATAGAATCAGTGCTTTGGCCAGAAAAAGAAGAGCTGGAGTTGCATTAAAATGCAAACCAGAGTTACACTTCAGATCAGCTGAAAAATAACTTGAGTGCTGCTAGGTAAAGAAAGAGGTAAGTTCATTAAAGGTGATTTTCTCATGCTCCAGAGTGCTTGTGGTCAAAGCACAGAAGATATATAGGTCAAGACTATTTTCCCTGTCCCACATCAAGAATGTGATGTTTGCAGGGCACACTCAGTAGTCACGCAGTGGACAGCTCCCTAATCCATCTACTAAGCCAGCTGCCACTTACTTAGGAGTAAGCCCCATTGAACACAAACTAAGGAAAATATGGCCACACTTAGTTAAAATGCACAATAAGACAAGTTCATCAAAACATCAAAATATTAAAATAAACACCTATAATTAAAATGTACAATAAATAAGGCCTGCAATACCGCATAACTGTTAAAGAGTTAAAACAGGAGGTTCAGTCAGCAGATCCGGGAAGTGCTTGTCAAAACAGGCGAGTTTTCGAGCACACATGGTTACAAGATATGACTCTGGAAAATGTTAAGCTAAATTGCTCTTTTTTCCTACATTCAGTCTGGCCTCTAATCCCATCTTTTCACCACTTTGAAGTTGCTAATGAATGAATAGCTGGCATTAGAGCTAGTGGAGAAACAATGTGGATCAGGGGTCTGCAGACTTTTTCAGCAGGGGTCCTGTCCGCTGTCCCTCAGACCTTGTGGGGGGGACGACTATATTTTGGAAAAAATAATAATGAACGAATTCCTATGCCCCACAAATAACCCAGAGATGCATTTTAAATAAAAGCACACATTCTACTCATGTAAAAACACCAGGCAGGCCCCACAAATAACCCAGAGATGCATTTTAAATAAAAGGACACATTCTACTCGTGTAAA